CAGGGTCCTGGGGTTGGATGTCAGAGGTCCCATATTTGAGTTACAGTCATTTACTCAGCAACGTTTACTGAGTGTTTCCTCGGTGCCAGACATTGTTTTAGACACTGGCCACAAAGGTGATTGGAAAGGCCCCCGCCCCCAGGGACTCACTGTCCTGGCTGTGTGATTCCCTCGCTGATAAAATGGACTTGAGCTTTATCTCTCAGCTGCCTCACTTGTTAAATGGGCATGATAAAACTTCCCCAGCTACTTTTTTGTTTTGTTAATTTTTTTATTGAGATATAATTGACATGTAACATTGTGTACGTTTAAGGTTTGCTACATTTACATATTGCAATATGAGTATACCATATTGTTAGCTAACACCTCTATCACGTCACATACATATTTCTTTTTTGTGGTAAGAATAATTATGATTGATTCTCCTACCGACTTTATGTTTATAATACAGTGTTGTTGGCTATCATCACTTCACTATGCATTTGACCTCCAGAAGTCATCATCTACTAGCTGCAAGTTCACATCCTTAAACAGCATCTTTCCAATTCCCCCAACCCCTCTACCTGCCCCTGGTAACCACCATTCTACTCTTTTCCATAATCTGCACATAAGTGATATAATCCAGTACTTGTCTTTCTCTGTCTGACTTATCTCACTTAGCAGAAGGCCTTAAAGGTCTGTCCATATTTTTACACACAAGTAGCATTTCCTTCTTTCTCACAGATGAGTAACATCCCATTATATATATCTCACGCCTTCTTTATCCTTCAAACATTGATAGATACTTATGTGGGATATAAAACTGGAAGCAACAAATAAACAAGACAGACAAACAGAAACTCATAGACACTAATAGTATGGTGGTTACCAGAGGGAAAAGGGCATGGAGGGAGGTAAAGGGGTCAAATACATGATGACAGAAGGAGCTGACTGTGGGGGGTAAACACACCATGTAATACACAGGTGATGTGTTACAGAAATGTACACTTGAAACCTATATAGATTTATTAACCAATGTCACCCCAATAAATTTAATTTAAAAAAACACTCTTAAATCCATTTAAAAAGTAGCATTAAAATAAAACAAAGGAAAGAATAAAGCAACTCACATTCACAGCTCTGGGTATGAACCACAGTTTATTCTATTTTCAGCAGCTGATTCAAGCCCCCCTACTTGTTCACCACCACCACCACCCCCCAAAAAACCCCAAACAAACTAGAAAACAGTTCCAAGAACAGGGTACCGCCCAGGAATCAAAACATTCCATTTCTTGCTTATGTGGTCTCATGCTACACCTTAAGTTTATTTTAGAATATTTTTAGCCTATGTCCTCCCTCCTTGACCTTCCTGGTTTGCTGAAAGTTAAAAAGGGAGACTATGATTCACTGACATTCCCAGAAAAAGAAAAAGAAGAAATCTAGTCTAAGGCTTATATACCTAAAAAAACCCCGCAACGGGCACCCACTTAGGCGACAGCGGGCTCTGGAGTGGGACCCCTGGGGTGAAGTCCCAGCTGCAAGCTCTGGGTCTCTCATCAATACTGTAGGGATGATAGCAGCAGTGGCAATTACATGAGGTTAGGCATTTAGTTTAATGCCTGGCTCAAAGTAAGTCTTTAATAAACGGTAACCATTCTCTTCTCATTACTCATTTAACAAAAATGCACCTCATATCCCAACTGGCAGGAATTTTTGTGTCTGTTGGCTGCCACTTAGTCTTGGGGTAACAAGTTTCGGGACAGAGAAGCAAGCACATCTGGCTCCCACCATCAGTGCTGGGCACTAACTATGAGAGCTTCCATCACACCTGTTTTCGGAGCGATCGCCCAATGAACACGGGCTCCAGTGACCCTGGGGCCACAACCATTCCTCCCAGCATCCACACAGGCACAGCAGGAGAAAAGCACTGTGGGATGCAGAGGAATGCGAGTCCCCCCAAGTGCTTGGCTCCGATTGCCGCTGACATCATAGTGGAAAGCTCCGAGGGAAGTTTCTCACATTGGTTGCAAATGACCACACGGTACTTACTGAATGGCCACATCTTACGTTTGCTTGTGTATGGCACTGTCTAGAAAGAACAGGATTGGCAGAGCACATGCCCTCGGGTGTGTGAGGGGCCTCGGGATTCCTCAGTAGCCTCTAGCACTTTTGGTCAGGAGGGTAAATGATAAAGGTAATGTGATTAACAAACGAGAAAAAAGGGAAAACTTATGTGCACACATGTGTACATGTGTTAAATGCTCTAGCTGCTTATAATTTAGGAAGGATTCTAGCCAACTTTATTTTAGGCATTTACTCTGTTCCTCTTGGGGAGAAAAAAAAAATCTCAATTGTGCTAGCCATATGAGGTTGGATCTGGCTTCATCCAACAAGCTCCCATTAGAAGTAATACTCAGAAAAAAGCTTTTAATGTTTTCAAAGAATTTTACGTTGGCTATGCCATTACAGAAAAATATAACTCCAGCACAGTGAGTGATAAATTCTGGGTATAACTGAAACTTCTTTTCAGGTGGCTTATAAACACATGGTCTAAAACCCCTAACTAAGTTTCAGGTTACAGTTCAGGGAAGGCCTGTAAGTAGAAAACAGGGCCCGAGAAGCACAGAAACAAAAGTCTAAACTTCCCAGAGACAAACAAATAGAAAACATTTAAAAAGTAATGTTCCTTTAGGTGCCCTTTTCCCAAAGCAATGGGGCTGCAAGTAGGACCCCCCAACACCAAGGGAGTTACCTGTGAATCCCGGTGAGCAGACACAACTGTAACGATTAACTCCATCCATACAGACGCCATGGACACACGGGTTACTCGCACAGTCATCAAAATTGATCTCACAATTAACACCTGCAAGGATAAGAGCAAAGAGGAACCATGCAATATTTCCACCAAAATATCAAGGATGTCTGCTTGGGACCCTAAGTGTTAACCCTTTGTACGCCATAAGCGTCTACAGAAGTTTAGATGGTTTCCGTTTTGGACACGTGGCAGTTAACTGGTTGAGAAAGCTGTAGTATCCAGCCAGCCCTGGGGAAAGCAGCAACGCTGCCGGAGGGATCATGGGGCAAGGCGATCTCATTCACCGCACTGAGCCCCTGTGTGCCTTTTTCACTGTTTTGGCATTGGCACAAATGGGCAGAAGCCATGGAGGCAGGACTATGGGCGCCTCGGCGGGAATTAGAGCAGTGGTGCCACACTGCAGGGGTGGGCACTGTATCCATCACATCCGTGCACTCGCGGCAAAAACCACAGAAAAAGACAGGCTCCCTTAAGAATGACGTTGTGAAGTAAGATGATTAACTTTATCCTTTTATTACATCTTGACCCTTGACTGTTTATATGTCCACTGTTCTGTGTGATGACCTGGGAAGTACACACGAGGCCGCTCAGTGACATACCATCGTGCAGAGGTGCCTCCAGGAAAAGCAGTTGTGTGATTATTTCAGATTTGAACGGAAGCAGTTGTTGTTTTTCATGGAATCCCATTTTCACCAAAAGAACAACTGACAAGACAAACCAGGGCTATTCGCACCGAACTATTTAGTTCATATTAACTGCAAAGAGTAAACCTGTCATTTCAAAAAAAGCAAAACCTGATAGTATTGTGTTCCAAAGATAAAATATAAGCTTTCACATGAAAATTAGAATTTTGGAACCACTACAAGCTTTAAACTGACAGTCACTATTCTGGTTACAACTCAGGATAAACTTTAAAGAGACTGCAAACTTCCTCCTGGAGTCTGCTGTTTTCCTTCTGGTCGATTCCCAGAACAAACTGTGGAGTCTGGCTGTGTTAGAAAAGCTTTAACTGAAGATATGGGTAACTAAACAGCAGAAATATACCAGTCATTATTGTTAGCATTATTCGGTAAAAATACTCATATTTTACGATATAATTAACATGAATTTAGTGATGCTTTTTTGGGTATCATAGAATACTTCAGTAGTTTAAAAAGTCTAAAAAATAAAACCGGATAATAAGGATTATAAATTCAGAAATGAAACTTCCATGACAAAATGCCATAATTTTGACTCACTTTGCATTAATATTTATTAACAAAAATTACATCAAAAATTTACTTGAGCAGGAAGAGACAGCCGCCCACTGGGCCAGTGAGACTTTGTCATTGGAAGGTAGGAGTATGACGGTGTGAGCTCTGGTCTGCAAATAGCCCTGTTTCCTGAGAATCTCTGCAAAGCCTATTGCTCCAAACTCACCTGAAATCCACGAGATGCTTTTTGTGCTCTCACTAAATTCTTTCTGCTGTTTTATTATTGGTTGCTTGTCTGTTACCAATTCTTTAAGCTAGTCAAATTGGATTCTGTGACTTCAAACCAAAAATAACTTACTTAGAACAGTGTCCCATCATAAGAGCACAGGTGAAAGAAGCAATTCCAGGTAGTGCACCCCACTTTCAAGTGCCCAGTGAGTGAGAAGCCACATTACAAGCAGCAAGTTGTAAAGTTTCCCTCTGTCTACACACTCATCCAGACCCCAGCCCACCACCTAGGACCGCATTCTGAATGGGTCGTGGATTCTTACTCTAGAGCTCCAGAGTCTATTCATAACGACTATTTGAATGGATCCTTTCCCCCGGGGCCCTCCATGCAGGCCTTTCTCCGCCCCTTACAAGATGCCTTTATGTGGCCTGGGTTTCTCTGCTTTAAGGCTCCTGATGCCACAGGAACAGGTCTGGCAGCTTTCTGAGAGAGATTCTGGGCCTTCCCTCTCTCTGCTGCCTGCACACCCCTCACAGCTACTTCCTGCCTTTCTCACTGACAGCTCCTCACACCTTGCTTTTC